TTTTTTTTAAATACCTTTAGTTATGAACATCTATGCATATCATTTTATATCTGTATTAATTTGAGTAAACTTAGGGAAACAAATCCACAGAAACTCATATGTATAAGAGACAGTTTTATATAAAGGGTAAGTGCACATTAAGAAAGTATCCCAACCCAGTGCTGTCCAAGCCTATAAGTCTGACACCAATCTACAAAGTCCTCCTCAATCTCACAAAACACATGCAATGACGCCGACTGCAGGAGGGAAGCCAAGTAAGTAAGCATGGAAACATCTCAGTGCTGGCAGGGGTGTTCACACGGCTGCTCAGCACCCAGGGCTGCATCAGGGTAGGTCCATGTGGCTTCTCCTCGGGGATGTCTTGCAGGAAGTGAGCCTTGCCAGCTGAAGAAGGGAACTGGCAAAGGCAGCTGCACCCTGGTGCGACCATCAGAAAGCAAGAGACCCGAGAACTAGAAAGGCGAGGCTCACTGAGCCATTTATCTCTCTGCCCTTCAATTAATCCCACATGCATTTATCAGCCAGGTTGCCACAATAAACCTTAACTATCTGAAACAGAAACAACTAATGTGCTAATCTCTGCTACCAGAACACTATTCACAGAACAAACGCAACTTCAATTTACAAACATGCTAGGTCCTGAGACGGCTTTACTCCTGAGTCCAAAATGGCATTATTCTGGTAATTATGGGCATTACATATGAACAGATTCTCGTCCTGAAAGGAGAAAACTGGGCTTGACTTTTCTTGCTTCTCTGCATTCCTTTCAAAATGTACCACCTCTTAACTTTCTTATTTTCATAATAAGTTATAACAATACGCTGTTCATGCATAGCTATGGGCACCATCACTAACCACTCTAAGTTAAAATCTGCGACCAAAGTGGTTGTAAAACGATCACTGGGGGCTAGCAATCTGCTCTTCAAAGTTTTTTTAAGGACCTAGAATTTTCAGTGAACTAGGAGCATCCTGAGATGCACTGTACCTCTAGGAAGATGAGTCCGTTTTCCAGAAGTTTTAGAACTCGGCTTATTCTTCCTTCGGATCAGATATTTTTGTAGTTCTTTGTTTATGGTAAACTTTCCCCCGGATAGTCTTATGTCACACTGGGAAGTGAGCACCTCACTCTGCTCACATCCACGTCTTCTGCAGGCGTGGCAGGGAATCCTTGAACACAGCTGTACCGAGCCTTTGTGGCCTATTGCTCACTGTGAGACTGTGCACCTCGAAACTGGCTTTGAATCTATGAACAATTCAGATCTTGTGACCAAAACTTCAAAGCAGCGATTCAAAACAGGTTTAGTCTTTAGGTTCTCAAACGCACGACTTTCTCTGGAGGTGACCAGGTGCCCACCACTGAGGGTGAAGCTGTCATGCCAGCTTTCTAAGTCTGCAATGGGTCCACCCTTCTTTCCCCTATCGCTCCTTTACCACGGATGGCCAGCCACAGCAGCGTTGTTTCTCAAATGGTGCACCCCTGGGGGCTCTAGGAATTGCTTCACCAACTTATTCCAGCGACAGAAGCCATTTCGTCACCACTGTTAATTTTGTTTCTGTTCTAACCAGATCATCCTCATTCTAGCTCTTTCGGTATGTGACACAAAGGACAGGCTAAAAAGGTTGAAAGTGTTGATGTTCAGGAAGCCGAAGCGCTTCTTCTAAAGCTTGAGATAGCACGGTAAGCTGTGGAGAAATTATATAATTTATTCTACTTTTTGGGCAATGATATAATTTATGGTGGAAAGTAGATTTTCCATTTTAAGTGTGTTGTCATTTTCTAGACTGACTCACTTAAAAAACAAGAACAGCAACAGAACGGAACCGCTTTCCTCAAGTAAGAAAAGCGAACCTAAAGCTGTTCGCAGGTGGGGAACACCGAAGCAGGCATCCTCCAACTACGGCCTGCGGGCCACATGCGGCCCGCCGAGGACATTTATCCGGCCCGCCGGGTGTTTGTACCCTGCTTGTTTTTTTACTTCAAAATAAGATATGTGCAGTATGCATAGTCATTTGTTCATGGTTTTTTTTAAAAACTATAGTCCGGCCCTT